TATATATAGCACGCACACACTCACACACACAGTACAAACCAAAGGTTTGGACACACCTCATTCGAAAGGTTTTCTCTATTTTCATGACTATGAAAATTGTAGATTCACACTGAAGACATTAAAACTATGAATTAACACGTGGAATTATATACTGAACAAAAAAGAGTGAAACAACTGAAAATATGTTTTATATTCTAGGTTCTTCAAAGTAGCCACCTTTTGCTTTGATTACTGCTTCACACACTCTTGGCATTCTCTTGATGAGCAACTCACTTTTATGTTATTCTCAACAAAAATTAGATTTATCCTTCAATATGACTGATAATTTGTTGAACTGTGTACCTGAGTATTCTCTGCTTTGAGAAGCTATTCATCATGTCTGTTCTGTGCCACTCAGACTCAGACTGAAAGTAAAATATTAAAGATGGATGTCGGATTTTTTAATAAGCGCTACATTACACATTTACAATGTCCTACTTATTTATTAATGGGGGAAAATGAGCTGTGCATGATAATAATTAGATGATGAAACACAATGAGATGCACAGAATTGTGAGGTTAGCAGAGATTCACAGCTCTTTGAAAAGTGGTGTCCGATATTTTGTCTGTTTTTTTGGCAGTATTGTGTTCTTTGCTAAAATATTGTAAAATGTTCTTAGGTAAATGCAAAAGATTTAAAGTAAAAATGCACGTGTAAATAAAAATTAAGCATTTTTTTATTTATAACAAAAAATATAAACAAAGAAAGTTGTAATTTTAGCTATTTAATTTTAGCATCTAGTGAGTGATTTTTTTTAAGCATCACTCACTAGATACTAAACTAACACATCAGACCCAGTTAGTTCAGTATTTATTACATTTATTCGTGACTTTGTTTCTAAATCAGCAAAATCTCACATCTGTTCCAGACGGAGCAGAATTAACTTTAAATTTGATAAAAGATCCAAGAGCCCCTGGACCACAGTGGTTCTTAGATGATCATTGCATGAACTTAGAAATTCGTTGCCAACTGTCTGTTTTGGTCATTTCTAAAATGTCTCAAAACGTTGATGAAGACTGTCAGTTTTTGATGTTCACTCTGTTGTTAGAATTCAAAACTTGTTTGAAACATTAGAAAAAAAATGTCTCTCAAATCTAAACTTTTTTTTAATTTAGATTCTTGTCATTCTAGAGCAGTGATAGGAGGCAATCCTGGTCCTCGAGTGCAGCTGTCCTGCATGTTTTACATGTTTCTCTGCTCCAACACACCTGATCTGAATGAATGGTGATCAACAGGCTTCTGCAGGACTTGGAGGAGGTAATTCAATCTGAATCAGGTGTGTCGGAGCAGGGAAACATGTAAAACATGCAGGACAGTGGCACTCGAGGACCAGGATTGCCCACCCCTGTTCTAGAGTGTTTGATTTATTTGGTGGTCAAATTGTATTGCGAGTTTTTGCCAACACTTGCAGTGTGATTCCGAGTAAAAAGTGTGTAATTTTTCTGGCTGTTGAGCATCTCCTGCCCCAGCAGTCGCTGCCTTGTGAGATGCTACTTTTAACTGCTTTTCTGTGTCATCAGCTTCCGACAAGAGATCGTCAGCTGATGCTCCCCAAGCCCAAGAGGAGGAAGATCTCCAGATAACATTGAATGTGTCGGCCCAGGAACGACCTCAAAGCCGTCGGAGGCTCGGTCCATTCGGCCTTGAGGCGGTCCGAGCTCTCTAACAGGTGCTACACAAGGACTGTCAGCGGTTCCTCGTTGTTCCACGATATCAACTTGACTTTATGACTGACCACAAAAGGTGCTGGAAACTCCAATCACCAATACAGTTTTAACTGTAGGACAAAAAACAGAAAAATACAAAAAAAAAAAAACATCAAACAGTTGCAATTTGTCTACAGCTCATTGAATTCACTATTTTTTTCTAGTATAAGATAGTAAAATAAACAAAAAAAAAAGCTACAAGCGTTACCTTACATATTTAAGAAAAATAGACAGTCCAAATATTTCTGATACATTTTCAATATGTACATAGATAATCCTGAAATTTCATGCTATTATGAATTGTATGTAAATATTGTACAATGCCATGTACAAGCATACTTAATGCACATTTTATCTTTTATTGTACAAAAACAAAGCAGTAGAAGTGTACCAATGTCTGGGTTTCTATTGAGAGGTGTGGCTGCGTACGGCCGCATGCATAGGACAAATAATACAGCCTAAAGCTTTTATATGACAGACTGTAAGTCGTGCTGTTTTTCTTCGGTTGGTTGGTTCTTTTCTAAAGGAACGATCATGGAAAAGGCATGACGAGTATTTGAGAACTCCATTACAGTTTTCACTTCACGCCAGCTGAGTGTTTGTTTCTTACTGGGGAGAAAAAGTTGAAAAAAAAACAAAAAACAGAATGAACTTTACCAGCAGAAAGTGTTCAGTGTTGTGAGTCTTCATCACTCCACCAGCCGCCTCTTTTCAACAGGAAAAATCAGGATATTTACGAGTCGAACGAGACGGTTTGATGTACAACGGTATGCTCGGGCCGCTCAGAAGAAAAAAAAAAAACGAGGTTGAGGAAGATGTTTTTGTTATTTTTAGAGTTTCAAGAACAAAGTTTGAGTGGTGTAAAAAAAGTGAATTTGAGATTAAACTAATTATCAAAAACATAACCATCACTGGCTCAAAAGCCAATTAGATTTTCATAAGAATCATTCGAGTACAAACTGTAAACTAACATCTGCAGTTTTCCAGGAGAATAATGAGAACATTTCAGAGTTTACCAGTGCAGCTACCACCTGAAACTCCCAACAACAAGGTATAAATCGAAGGACAAAAATACTAAGGCTTGATTTAAAAAAACTGCTGAAGGAGAACAAAATAGGTGGTCAAATTTGGACAACTCAGAAGTTAAAATTTTTGTGACTTAAGCACTTTTAAGTTCAACATTATCTTGTAAAATCTCCAAAAAAAAAAAATTCTGTTTGAGTATTTCTAAACCCATGGGAGGGAAAGCAAACAGAAAATAGCTGGACACAGGAGAATAGATATATGTACAAGTTTCAGATTATTTAACACTCATTTATAGCCACTGGCCAGCAATAGAAGACTGCACCTTGGATTTGTAGCAAAAACACTTGTATTGCTTTTTGCAGTTCACACACTCATCCCTCAGTTACAACAATGATTAGACAATTTTAGGAGAAATTTTAAAAGTTCCCACACAGCTGCTGCAAATGTAACTTGTAATATGAGAAATAATAACATTTCTAGGCCTGTCACGATAATAAATTTTAACAGATGATAAATTGTGTCAGAAATTATTACGATAAACGATAATATTGTTGGAGACCAGTTTAAACTAATATAATGATATAACCCCCCCTCTTTATGGAAGTTTACGTTAAAATTAACACATTGTAAAAAGAAAATAAAAAACAACTGTCTGCACTCCCAAGGTTTGGCTCGGTGCCCTGAAGCGTCTCCAGCTGTGTGAAGGCATCAGAAAACTGAAGCTGCTCCTCTGGCTAAAAGCCTGTTCACAGGCTCTCATACTGCACAGGTTAGAGACCATGAACCTGCAAGTACCTGACAGACTTCACTTCTCTACTCTAAGAAGTAAAAAAGAGGGAGACGCTAAGAAAACAAACAAGCAGGCAAATGAAAATTATTGTCTTCATTTTAATATCAAAAGGAAAAAAATTGTATAGGTCCTCTGGACGGGCTCTTCTTTAATGAAACTTTTTCGTCTCTTCTCCAAGAGACTTCTTCAGTCTGAGAGTTTCAGGCAAAATTCAGGCTTAGCCTGAATTTTGCCTGAAACTCTCAGACTGAAGAAGTCTCTTGAAGAGACGAAACGTTTCATTAAAGAAGAGCCCGTCCAGAGGACCTATACAATTTTTTTTAATTTTTTTTTTTACCTGGATTACTGAGATGCATCAGGACATTTTAATTCATCTTATTCAGTTTAACTTATCATACGATTAATTGATTTATTGTTTATTGTGACAGGCCTAAACATTTCCACGATTATAAAATGTATATAAATTTCAGCGTGAAACACGCGTAAAAACCAACAGAGATTAAAAAGCTGCTGCCAGTGGCTCGTGATGGTCCCCGTGATAACCTGACGCTTGTATCTGTCGCTCCCAAAAGAGGCAGACAGAAACGTTTAAGCAGCCGTGAGGGTTTTATTAGGCTGGACAGCACTTAAAGTCTTTTGTGGTTTTGAAGTGCTTTATAAATAAAGCTGGATTGGATTAAGGAACTATAGTTTTGCTAAATGGAAAAACACAAGTTGGCCAACAGAAAAGTGTGTATCAGCCAGAGAAAAACTCATATCAGTGGACCTCTGTAGAGACTTGTCATGTAGCAGTGAGAGACACTGAGTGAAAGAAGACACAACTTCCCGTAGTTTGATGGATAATTTTCTTTCAAAGCTTAATCCCTTTTTTTGTAGTTTTAGTTGCTCTAGTTTTACAGCACTTTTGTCAGCCTTGTTGCTGTTTTCTAAGGTCTTGTGTTACGGTGAAGCTGCACAGCAGGATGCAGGACAGCATCAATGCTTATGTGTTGGAGCACTGCATATAAAAAACAAGCAGCACAGTTGGGTTCAGGGACACTGAGAGTTCACATCCTCAGGTTTGGTCTTCAACAACTATTAAGACTTTTTCTCACCTGTTCACTCCTAACATTGACCTCTAGTCCACTCAGGTCATCTGGACCTTGAAACTGAAGCTTGTGGGTCTCTCTGTTCACAAGCTGCAGACTTGATTATAATGTCGGTGTTCAAACATCCTCATTTGAAACATTTGGCTTTCTGAAGCTCGTGATGGTTTCGTTTTTGATTCAAGCTCAAAACATTTTTTTATCTGCTGTTTTTACTTTGTTCTAAAAACACAAAGAAACTCTTTTTTTTTTTGTTTTCAGAGCAGCCCACCATAATAAAGAAGGAAAACTCCACCCTCAGTTTTATTTCCTTTTCATGTTTACAGCCTGTAAGATCACTCTGAGGTGTAAAAACTGAACCTTTTTTATTATTATTACCATCAAACGTGTCTGCAAAGTGATGCTAACATGAGACCTGACTGTAGAGACACTTTAACCCAGAAAACAAGTGATGTTGGGGTGGATTCTTCCTTCTGAGGCACCGGTCTATGGTTCTGTTCCTGCACTAGTCTGTGCAGTATTTAATTTAATATTCATGACTGTATTTTGATTTGATTTGATTTTTTTATTGCAGTTCTAGCTTTAGGTCGACTAACCAACCTCAGAGTCCAGATCATGAGAACACTAACTTGATGAAAGCATTTCTTGCATTTAGAGGCCTTTTTGTTTGTTTGTTTGTTTGTTTTTTGCTTGTTGATGTAAATTATTTATGTACAATACTCCATATTTATTTTAAGCTTTACAAATATGCTAGATGGCAATAATACTACCAAGAGTTGAGAACTAAAGCCTTATATGTGTGTATATGTTTGTTTTTGATCTTGTGTTCTGACTCCATCACAGATGTCATATTCTGCTTTTATTTAAGAAGTGATGATGATCTTTTTTTTTTTTTTGTGATGAGGCTCTCTGATCTCGTTTTTGTTGCAGATTGTGTCATAGGAGATTTTTCTGGGTAAGGATCACACTATTTATGAATAAGGTTGTTTTAACACTACGAAACTGCTAATTATCACTTGATCAGCCTGACAGTATCAGAGACTTTGGATAAAACTACATCACTACCCGTGTGTCAAGTGCAATAATCTGAGAAAGATCAACAGCTTCTGATTCCTGTAACTTTGTTCTTTTAGCCTCCTTTCAGCCGTCACTGGTTTTACTTTTACATACTGTAATAATCTGACTTTTCTTTGTTGTAACGTCTTCATTGGTAGGTTTACAGACAGCTGTTACAGTTAGATATTGTTTCAGGGGGTGTCTCACTGAGCTGTGACTGCTGGAGAAGCGTTGGTGGATCAGAACTGAGAGAAAACGGGTACATTTTCAGTCAGACTCACCGAATTCTGAACGTTGGCGACGAGCGACACAAAAGGTTGTGCGCCTGAGTTTGTTACCTGCCATGATGGATGGCCCAACGGGGATTTAACGCTGCTCATTACAAACTATGAAATCAAATGGAAAAGCTTCTCCTGAGCCGAAACAAACTGCAGTTTGAAAGAAAACTCAAGTTTTCCAGACATGTTGTGTTAATTGGCTTAAATGTGAGTACGCACTCACTGTTAATAAAGCACTCGGCTGAATTGGCCAAAAACACATCGGTCATCTGGAGACTTTATTCAAGCAGCAAATCTCATTTTGATCACAAACCTGATTTTCAAGAGAGGCCTGGGCCTGAGGACGGAAAACAGAAGCAACCAGAGAAAATCTCCCACAAACACAAGAAGAACATGAAAGATCACAAAGCAGGAGTGGAACCCAGGACCTTCTTACTGTGAGGCAACAGTTGTAACCACTAATCCATCGTGCTGCCCAAAACAAATCCGTTTTCTAAAGCCTGATAGTGTAGCAGTGCCTTTATGTTTGTCACTTCTATGTTTTTCTGTAGGAAAACAAACACTTCAGGTGTTTTCAAAGGTAAACAAGCTATTGTAATTAGCAGCTGTTCACAAATTTAGCTTAAAAATGACTAAAGACATTGATGTTACCCATCAATGATTTTTACTTGTCTTTATGACCTTGCAAACTTTCATCTATTAGAGTGCATAAAAAAAAGGATCAACATGTTTGGACCAGATTTCTTTTATTTTTATTTTCTACATGGTATTAAGAGCTGGACCGTTGCAACTTTAGCCTCGGATGTTTTCTGTCCATTGCATGAGTCAAATAATAGCTGCAGTGCTCCTGAAACAGGTTTGAGAATAGTTTGTGCAAGTCAATTATTCCACAAATTGTAAAAATATCCTCCTAACTCGTGTAAAATGACACTAACCCTTTGTGACAAGTCAACTGAGAACCACCGGAAAGGATTTGAGACTCGAGTGAAATCTTTTCACCGACCACCGTCCAGTGTTTGCAGCCCAGTGAGACTCCATGTAGGTTTTCAGTCCTAAACGAAAGAAACAAAATGAGCACAAAGAGTATTTTCTTCATAAGAAATCCAGTTTCTTTTACAACTTTTTAGTTTTAAAGCTAAAATATTCACTCCGGTTCAGAGTTTTTATTCTTTTCCCCAGACAGCACTACAGTCATTAAAACATGCAGATGACCTGTTTTAACCTAGTGTTAAATATTTCACTACAGAGTCCAGTACTGTTTTATTCTCTGTGAACTTTCTTTATGATGAGGGGGACAACAACTCTAAAATAAAACCTCGTTTAACTTCCTTTATTTCCAGTTTTCACTCGGGAGAATTCTGAGAGAGATGTTTTTAAAAAATGTGACGTTTTATGTTGAGAACACGTGAGCTCTTTCGGTAAAGTTCATTCTGCTCTTCTGCCCCACATTTTATTTAATGATTTGATTTGATTTAGATTTGTTTTGGTGCAATGACCCGCAGGAAGCCAGTCTCGTGTCGGGAGCCCACGCGTTCTTTGTGTCGGACGTTTCTCCTCCCGTTTTGCTTGTGGATTGTTTGTGTTGAGGTGTGAGTGTGATTTTTTTATTTTTCTATCTTTAAGCTCCTTTCTGTTGTCAGTATTTTCTTTCTTCAGCTCGTGATTGAGTATATATTTGTCAGTAATATATACTTTACAAGAGACACAGACTTGTGTGAAGTACTTTTTGTTTTCCTTTCTGCATTACTGTGGGTTAGAGATAGTGTGTCAGAGTCCATAATTCTGAAACTGTTTGGACTTTTATTTTTTAATGGTTTGATGTAAGCAGCATTTTTTTTGTAAATATTGTGAAACATTACAGGTCATGCAGTGCTGTAACATTTTGAATAATGTTGCACAGATGTTTAAGATATTAAAAACATGTTCACTCTTATTTGAGTAGTGTGGTTTTTAAGTTTGTTTCTGCTCTCGTTTCCTTATTCCATTTATTTAAAATTACTCCTTAATTAGACGAGCTGAGAGATTAAAGCTGGTTACACACCGCCCTCTAGTGGCCAAAAGGAAAGGTACAACAACAAAGACAGAACTATCACAGTCACAGTCTTTTGCAAAGGAGACCTGGACCTGAAGCCAGCCTGACATGATGAAAAAGAAAAAAATWGTATAGGTCTTCTGGACGGGTTCTTCTTTAATGAAACGTTTCGTCTCTTCTTCAAGAGACTTCTTCAGTCTGAGAGTTTCAGGCAAAATTCAGGCTTTTAAGCCCTGCCTCCATGTGACTGATACTAACATCACATGGCTATCATTGACACCTAATTAACACCTATTGTTAACGGGGTGGAGTGATACTGGCAATAGCAGCACTGTAGGAGGGGGACAACTGAAAGCGGAGGCCTCCACCTCTGTTTAATGATGGACGGTCTTTCTTTACAAAAATGGCTTCTTTTACTCCTCTCTCAAACCAACGTTCCTCTCTATCAAGAATGAGAACATCCTCATCTCTGAAAGAGTGACCGCTGGCCTGTAAATGAGTGAAAACTGCAGAGTTCTGGCCATTAGATGTAGCTCGTCTGTGTTGGGACATTCTTTTGAACAGTGGCTGCTTTGTTTCCCTGATGTATAACTGGTTGCAGTCCTCCTGGCACTTAACAGCATATACAACATTGCTCTGTTTGTGCCGGGGCACCGGATCTTTGGGGTGAACCMRSCYTTTGCCGTAATGTGTTTTGGGGTTTGAAAGCCACTGGGACATCATGTTTAGAAAATAAACGTCTCAGTTTCTCCGATGCATGTTTTTGTTGACAACATGCACAACTTTGAGCATGAGTAGACTTTCTCTGGGTCCTCCAGTTTCCTCCCACACACCAAAAATATGAATGCTAGACTTATTGGTCTTATTGGTCCTAAGAGAATGGTTCTATGTTGTCTTGCAATGTCTAGATGCCCCCGCCCCTCACACTGACTGCTGGACACGAGCACCAACCTGAAAGGAAGAAACAGATTAAGATAATGGATGGATGAATCACCTGCTCTTACCCAAATAAACTGAGCAACCCTGTTCGGTTTTTTAAACCTAGGAACTCAGAGAGACAAAAGAAACCCCGGCCGAACATTAATCAATGACAACAGAGACCAGTAAGATTTATAGAGTCACTTTGCAAAGGAGAAATTCAGTGATACTTAACTCAGCTCGAAAGCTTGGTGAAGATCAGAGAAATTCTGACCTGGGGGCGTGAACAGTCGTTTTATTCAGAGACGTAGGAATGAGGTCACACAATGTTACAACAAATCAGAAATCAGTTATGTGGTTTGTCATAGGCATAGGGACCAATCAAAACACTTGTTGCTGGGGTTTAATATGTGAATAATAGTAAAAACAACACAGACTTGTTTTGTCTTACCCGCTCGGCTTAAGGGCAGTTTCTATCTGCCACACTCTGTGGACACGCCATGATGAATAATACATTTGTCACGTACCTCAAGACTTTATTTGAAACACCTTAAGTTTAATAAATCCATAAAAACTCTATCAAACCCTTAGCAAAAAAGTAGTTTCAGTGTACTGTGAGTTTACTTATTTTACACAAAAAATGAGGCAGTGCAAGTGGAGTTTACTTTTTACAAATTATATTTGATTTACTCAAGGATAGTGTAGTGAAGTATACTTGACCTTAAAAGTATAAAGAGAAGTTTAAGATTAAGTACATTAATACTAAAACATTTTTAAATCTATAAGTATATTGAAGATGTTCTCAAGAGGCTGTCTTGTGATTTTGTAAACTGTAGTGTACATAAATGGGTTAAGTATATATCAGCATATGGTATTCTACGAGTAATGTGTTATAAGTGAATTTACAAGTATATTCTAACAAAATGGCAAAACTAGTATTTAGGTTTAGTATTTCATAAAAGTGTAATTTGGTTTATGAAGTTAATTTATTTTTAAAAGATTCTATATACAACAAGAAATACAAATCACGAATAAAATGAAAGGCAGTAGAAAGAAGAAAAAATCTGATATCTGCCCCTTTTTTCAAACAAATAAATTCAAACAATAATCTGCAAATAACAAACACAAAACAAACAAAATGTCCTGATGCATCTCAGTAATCCAGGTAAAAAATGTGATGTGAGTATCAGTCACATGGAGGCAGGGCTTAAAAGCCTGAATTTTGCCTGAAACTCTCAGACTGAAGAAGTCTCTTGGAGGAGAGACGAAACGTTTCATTAAAGAAGAACCCGTCCAGAAGACCTATACAATTTTTTAAAATAAATAAATTTTCTTTTTTCACTCCTTGAGCCACACTTTGTTTAGATGCAAATTATACTATTTCATTTTTTCTTTAACAAACGTTTCTATAATTTTCTTAAACACACACTTTGATCTGACATTTTAGCACCACTTTCCAGATTATTCCATAATCTTATACCCTGGATTGAAGTACACCGCTCCTTTAAACTGGTTCTAAATTTAGGTCTGTCTCCTTAAGACTGTAACAACTCTCTCTTTTAACAAAATTGAATTGTCTGTTTAAAGGCAATGTTTTTATGAGCCCTATACCATCCATCCATCCATCCATTTTCTGTACACGCTTCTTCCTTTTCAGGGTCGCGTGGGTCACTGGTGCCCATATCCAGCAGTCACAGTGCGAGGGGCGGGGTACACCTATACATTACTGATAAAATATAATCAACCAAATCATAGAATTACTATAATTTCAATTGACCAAACAATACATTTGATGGGTGAATGTAATGTTTTCTTGTAATAATATTACAGCTTTTTTCTGTAAAACAAGAATAGGATTAGTAATTGTTTTACATACTTTTACCCAGACTTCAATACAACAAATTAAGTGTGGAGATTTATAAAAGATTTAGCTTTATTCTTAAATAATTCATGTTTGATTTCCAAGTCAGATTTTTATCAATACTACACTCAAAAACTTCACCTCACTGACTCTACAAATCTGAACACCATCAACTCTAAATGGAACATCGATAGTTCTCTTTTTATTACTAAATATCATATAGTTAGTTTTATCCAAATGCAATGATTTATTAAGTTTAAACCAAGTTTGTATTTTTACAAATTATGGTTCCGTCATCTCCAACATTTGTTCTGACTTTACCCAAACAAAAAATGTGGTGTCATCTGCAAATAGTACCTACACATTTAAAAAACCTGAAACATTAACCAGGTCATTTACATATAAAATAAATAACTTTGGTCCAAGTACAGAACCCTGAGGAACGTGATATTACAGAGTTCACATATAGGCCTACATCATTTATTTGAACAAACTGTTTCCTGTTTTTCAGCTGCGCCTCTTATACCATATTGATTAAGCTTTTAAAGTATACTTAAACAAACTGAAATGTGGACTATAAGTATATAATATGGGCAATGGCAGTATAGAGAAAAGTACACTTGTGGTGTACTTTAAATCTAATTCTATAAGCTAAAATGTGAACCACAAGTATAAAGATGAGTGTATTTGAATGTATAACTTGGTAAACTTAAAAATACTATACTTCTTTATCAATCAGTAGGCCTACGTATACTTTCTACAAGTACATGGTGCATACTGTAGCTACTTGACATAGGCCTCAAGCAGGCCTATTTATTAAAATGAACCTCAAGTATTTTTGCTAAAGAAAGACTCGAGATATTCAAAAACTCTCATTATTTCAGTCCACACGAAAAGATCCTGGAGTTGGTTGGAACTTGCTCAACAAATGAATGTAACTAAATAAAACAAAATTGGGTGTAAACCTGTTTACTCTGGGTCAAACTGATAACCAAACCTTGAGTTAAATCTGCAGGGTCAGCTTATTTGAGCCTTGTTTTTAGCAATAATATGAGCTTAAAACGATGACAATTTGTTTTTAAAGTGTATATTGTTTTCATGCAGTAAACGTGAGTTAAATACGTGCAGTTCAAATGTTTGATTAAAACGTGCGTGATGGACTGCGGAGGCTTGTACGTGCGCGTCACAGTTACGATGCGGGCCCACAGGCGCGCGCGCGCGGCGGCGGCAGGACGCTGCGGATGCTGTCCCAGCAGCTCATCCTCCCACATACTCAGGAGCCGGCTGCTCTACCCTCTCCTGGTCGCAGCTCCGGATCCGGACGGCCCGGCCCGTCATGGTGCAGAGCCGGAAACCTGCTCCTCCGGTCGGATAAAAACCGAGAACTGCCCCCCCTCGCTGTTTGGGAACCAGGGAACCCGGCGATGAATTAAACCTTTCCGTTTCCGTGCAGCTCTGAGGTGCAGGAGGATACCCCACCCTCAGCCTTCTTGTTTGTTTGTTTTTGTTTGTTTTGGAGGCGCAAACAGCTGCAGCAGCCATGGTGGACGCAGCGGAGTGCGGGGTGAAGGTGATGTGTCGCTTCAGGCCGCTGAACGAGGCCGAAATCAACCGAGGAGACAAATACGTCCCTAAATTCAAGGAGGAGGACACGGTGGTGATCTCGGTGAGTCTGGTGATGGAGCTCTGCAGGCTGCTCCTTATTTAATGTCTGATAGAAACTGATGGTCAGAAAGCAAAAAAAGACTGCAAAAATAATGAATTTCATGACGATCCAGTCAAACTGTTAAAACAGCTGTTCACATCTGCACATCAATGTCCCACAGCATGACTCCTCCACCACCGTGCTTGACAGATGGCCTCATTTTGACTCCTGCAAACATCCCATCCTGTCCAAACAGCGCTGCCTGTCTCATCTTGTCCTTGTGGACATCTATAGGTTGAACTGTTCCTGCAGTTCTTCAGCCTCGGTGCTTCTTGGCTTATTTCCCTGGAGTGCTGTCAAACACATCCTGTCCATATATACTGGCAAAGAGAAACTACCAGCTGCAGTCAATCATGATCATGGACAAGATGTTGAACTAACTCTTAGTCTGTAACCAGTTCTTAACAGATTATATGAATGTATGTGACCCTGTGTGGATTAGAGAAGATCCACTATAAACTCTGACTTTGATCATCTAGTTCTTGTTTTTTAAACCCCACAGTTGTAAGTTGTGTAGTGATTTTATCCTGCAACGACAGTTCAGGTAAACCCTTTAATGACCCAAAACGGTGTGAGATGCATGCCTGTGATGAGGATGGAAGCTTCTGGGGACAGCTGCAGGTCAGGCTCAGAGTTGGAGTGCTGCTGCAGCTGCTGACAGCTGCTTTCCACACAAATGAGGATTTATACCCCAGGGACAGAGTCAGGAGTCGACTCGACAACAAGCTGTATCTTCATTAAAGACGGGAAACAGGATGATTACCTGCCGCCGTGAAAACAGGAAATCATGTAACGTGTAATCATCATGTAACCATCATCATAATCATGTAATCATGTAATCTGTGTTTAACAGATCTGAATAAAACTCCTGTGGATTTTAATCTACAGTGCACTAACTTCTGGAGTCAGTGCTATGGCCACAACAGCTAAAACAAACAATGGCTGTAACTCAGACGGTTTAACAAATATTGAACTCAATTTTGTGGTGTAGTAGCTGAGAGTCATCCACATAGCATTTTTCGAGCACATCACAAACACTTTGTTTAAACTTGGAAGTTTTCTTTTTTGTTTAAACTATTATTATTTTTAACAAATAAAATGAAACTGAATTGTGATAACTGAAGTCCAGTTTGACAAATCTCTCTGGGAACCAATATTTGTTGTGCGAGACGAAGTTTTGTAAGAAATTTGATGTAAAATCTTGTGTTTTTTTCTGTTGAAACAGAGCAAACCATACATGTTTGACCGAGTCATGCCCCCCAACACGACGCAGGAACAAGTGTACGACCACTGTGCCAAACAGATCGTCAAAGGTACGGCAGCTACACCCCGAGGAGTCGGTGCTCAACATCCTCTGACACACATTCTTCTTTTCTTTAGGAAAAATCTGTTTGTTTACTGTTAGTTTTCAGTATATTTTCTAATCAAACGACTTCTTCATACTTTGTGCTATTTTAGCTGTTTAAATAATAAAAAGTTCAGCTTAGTCAGGAGTTAGGTAGACTACTATGACTTTTAATTTTTGTAAACTGCATACTAGCTTCATTCACAAATGTTTTTCTTATATAAATGCATGGAGATCTCTGTAATTCTTAAAAAAACACAGTTTTCTTCCAAAGCTGCTTAAGCTATCAACATGCTTTGTTTATAATTTTTATACTCTTTAGTTTTAATTACTATCTGCTACTCTGATTTAGCTGTTTGTTACTTTGAGCTTTTTATTTTATTTATTTATACCACTTTTTTACTTACAGCTTTTTGCCAACATTTTATTACTTTTAGCTTTTACATTAACTTTTGTGACATTTAGTTTTAAACTAATGTTCTGCTTTTATCTACTATTCTTCTATGCTGAGATTTTAAGCACTGTTTTGCTACTTTTAGCTATTAGCCAGTGTTCTGCTATCTGCAGTTCTGCTACTTTTAATATTCACTATCATTTTTTTACCTTTAGCTTTTAGCCACTGTTTTTCTGCATTTAACCCTTTTTTACTTAAAGGGATCCCTGATTAGTTGTTAAATTAGACTTTATTTGATAAACATATATTTTAACTGTAAAATAAAAACTGTAAAAATACTGTAGGCTGTTTAGTTTTGTAAATTTTAAAAAATATATTTTAACACTGACTGAGCCATTTTATTTACACGCAAAGCATTCTGGGTAAATGATGACGTGGATAGGTCCTCGGTGTGAGCGAGCTATATCCACCCTGAAGGTTAATCTTGGACAATGTCTGACGATTGACTCTTTTAAATTAAACCAGAGAGCGTTGACAGAGAGGAGAAGGTAGAAATGACTCAGCCTGTAACTGAAAATATGGATGGAGGACAACAGAGCTGCTTCATGGAAGAAGAACCTCAGCTTAACCTGTTAGCCTTTGTGCTAGCACTGACGCTATATTGCCTTGTATGTATTAGCTCGGTGCTAAAGCAACAAACTGAGGTCCTCCATCCATATTTTCAGTTGCAGACTGAGTCATTTTTGTGTTCCCCTCTCTGTCATGTGGATGGAGGACCTCAGTGATGAGAGGAGAATGTGTAGCGCTGAGCTAATACATATATATGGTGATAGCATTGGGGCTAACGCTAAAGCTAACAGGCTAAGCTGAGGTTCTTCTTCCATGAAGCAGCTCTGTTGTCCTCCATCCATATTTTCAGTTACAGGCTGAGTCATTTCTACCTTCTCCTCTCTGTCAACGCTCTCTGGTTTCATTTAAAAGAGTCGATCATCAGATATTGTCCAAGATTAACCTTCAGGGTGGATATAGCTCACTAGCAGCCTCACACTGATGACCTAGTTGACATCATCATTTACCCAGAATGCTTTGCATGTAAATAAAATGGCCCCATCTGTGTAATATATTTTTAAAATTTTAGTTTAAAAATTATAAAAACTAAACATCCTACAGAGTTTTTTTTACAGTCTTTATAAAATATATGTTTATCAAATAAAGCCTAACGTTACAACTAATCAGGGATCCCTTTAAGTTTTTACCTGCTGTTTTAATCCTTTTAGTTCCAGTTTTAGCTGCTTCTGTAAATTTCAGCTGTTATTGCATCACTCAGTGTTTTCAACATTTATCCACTCCAGCCTTTAAAGTTTTCACCCTTTCCAACCTTTTAGCTTTGGTAAAAGAGTTTAGCAAGGTTAGGGTTTTAGCTGAAGGTAATGTTGCAAATATTTCATATCTGAATATCTGCTGTAATGTCTTTTGTAAGAGCTGTTTCTTATTTGTGTCCCTGTGATTCTAGATGTGCTGGGCGGTTACAATGGGACGATTTTTGCATACGGACAGACGTCATCTGGGAAGACTCACACCATGGAGGTGAAGGGTCAAACTGTCAATCAGCTCCTCATTATGAACTTTAACCCACTATCTGAGGATTTGAGCACTATGTGAAGGTTTTAAACAACTTATACTGACTTATGAAAATGTTACGCATAAATTACTCATAGGAGAGATATAAGACCCCACTTCTCGTCAGAATTAGCTTTGACAGGTGTCAATCAACTGTTGACCTCAGGGGTCACCAGACGCCTCAGAACAGTTTTTTTAATTACTCTTGATTGACTTGATAAATAACAAAATGACCTTTAAGGTCAGACTGCTGACTCTTAGGGGCACACTGGTGACTTTTGGGGTCAAACTTTGATTGACCTGTCACTGCTGATTTTGACAAGAAGTGGGGTGTTATATCTCTAATAGGTTATACAGTATATTTGATGTAATCATTAGCATAACGGAATGCGTACGTTGAAAAGAGATATAAAGTAGATTTTTTAAACTCCATTGTCAGTGTGGACGTCCTCAATGTTGGACAAAATTTTCACAAGTTGGTAAAAGTTGTCTAAAATGTCATAGACAAGGGCCTTAAAAGACTGATGAGTTAGATTTGAGAAATTCTGAACCAAATAAAACATTTGCCTTTTATTTAAAAAATTTTTTGGTCCATGAAGTCTTTTTGAGGGAAACATTAAGTTTTATTTCTGTAAAATTGGTTGAATCCTCAGATAACTTTCAAACTGTCTTCTTTCATGAAAAAAATGACTTCAGACTCAAGTAATCTGGAGCGAAACAATGTTAAACCCATGTTTTCTTTTAGTTTATTAACTTTAGTAATTTTTTTAAAAACACAATTCTATATAAAATAAAAAAACTACTCTACTTTGAATCCCTCCTGGATGACTGAGCTTCTCACTCTATCTCTAAGGGAGAGCCCAGACACCTTGTGGAGGAAACTCATATTGGTCACTTGTATCCATGATCTCCTTCTTTCGGTCCCTACCCAAACCTCATGACCATAAATGAGGGTAGGAACTATTTTCATCCCGGCCGCTTCACACTCGGCTGTGAACCGCTCCAGCGAGAACTGGAGATCACGATCTGATGAAGCCATTAGGATCACATCATCTGCAAAAAGCAGAGATGTGATCCTAAGGTCACCAAAAAGGATCCCCTCAACACCTTGGCTGCTCCTAGAAATTCTGTCCATAAAAGTTATGAACAGAATCAGTGACAAAKGGCAACCTTGGCGGAGTTCAACTCTCACCAGAAACAAGTCCAACTTACTACCAGCAATGTGGACCAAGCTCTGGCACCAGTCGTACAGGGACCTAACAGCCCGTATCAAAGGGCCTGGTACCCCATACTCCTGGAGTACCCCCCACAGGAGTCCCCAAGGGACACGGTCGAACGCCTTCTCCAAGTCCACAAAACATATGTAGACCGGTTGGGTGAACTCCCATGCACCCTCCAGGACCCAGCTGAGGGTGTAGAGCTGGTCCACTGTTCCACGACCAGGACGAAAACCACACTGCTCTTCCTGAATACGAGATTCAACTATCCTATGGACCCTCCTCTCCAGGACCCCTGAATAGACTTTACCAGGGAGGCTCAGAAGTGTGATCCACCTATAGATGGAACACACTCTGCGGTCCCCCTTTTTAAACAGGGGGACCACCACCCCAGTCTGCCAATCCAGGGGAACTGCCTCCGATGTCCACGCGATATTGTAGAGTCGCGCCAACCAATGCAACCCCACAACATCCAGAGCCTTACGGAACTCCAGGTGAATCTCATCCACCCCCGGCGCCCTGCCACCGAGGAGCTTTTTAGCCACCTCGGTGACCTCGGCACCACAAATTGGAGAGTCCGACCCAGGGTCCTCAGGCTCTGCTTCCTCATGGGAAGACATGTCAGTAGGATTTTTTTTCCCAAAAAATAAATTATAACAATACTAATTTACAAATAGCAAAAACAAAACAAAAACAACATCAAATCCTTTTTGAGCAACAATTTGTATGAATACTCATACTATTTCATATTTCTTCAACAATCAACTTTTATCATTCTCTTAAACACACACATTGATCTGGCATTTTAACATCACTCTCCAGATTATTCCATATTACTCCAGATTATTCCATAATCTTGTTCCTTGGATTGAAGTACACCGCTCCTTCAAACTGGTTCTAAGTTTAGGTTTCACAAGCAACTCTATCCTCTTAAGGCTCCAACAACTCTATCTCTCTTAACAACATTTAATTGAATGTTTAAAAGTAATCTGTTTTTATGAGCCTTATACATAACCTGTAAAATATTATAATCATCCAACTCATAGAGTTACAATAATTTCAATTGATAAATTAATGTATTTGATGAGTGAATGTAAATATTTTCTTGCGATAGTTCTTACAGCTTTTTTTCTGTAAAATAAAAATAGGATTAGTAATTGTTTTGCATGCTTTACCCCAGACTTCAGTACAATAAATTATGTGTGGAACAATTATTATAAGAGAAACTCTAACATTTATCATTGTATTCAGGGCAAACTTCACGACCCACAGCTAATGGGGATCATCCCTCGCATCGCCCGGGACATTTTCGACCACATCTTCTCAATGGATGAGAACCTGGAGTTCCACATCAAGGTACACCATCTGTTCTAACCTGAACTTAAAACAGTAACAAAATATCCAAGACCCATATGCTCTCTGGATTTTTATGATTTAAACCACAAGATTTACCTTTATGAGATTTTTTAAATTACTTAAAAATAATAATAAAAAATCAAGTCTTCATGCGAAAGAAAAACTAGCCTTTTTTACAAGGATGTGTATCATTTATCACACTGCATGTGTTTAGGACTCATGCATACTGTTTTACCACACCAAACTGTAGCTATTGGTAAATGTAACAGTTGTAGCTTGTTCTGTTTGCTAAAGTCAATAAGTTGTGGTGGTCATCTTCAAAGGGTAATCAGTTGAATGGGTTCATGAGATATTTTGCTAATAGACAGACAAAAACAGTCAAGATGTTTGGGGTAAAAAGTTTTCCTTTGATTTACCAACCAATAAGACTCAAAACTGAAATAAATTTGTCCCAATAATCTGTGTTTATATTTAAGTTACTTTTACTCACATTTCAGACATGTAGATTTAGAAAACTTTAGACTTACTTTGTAGATTTTGAATTTAGCTTTTATTTCTCTACAATTACAACCAATAAAATAGTTGGAAAATATAAATAATTGAACAATAAACTGTCTGACTTTTCTCTGCTC